GGAGGGATCTTGTGGGGATGGTGGGGAGAGGAGACCTGGGGGAAAGAAGAATCTTGAGGAGGTGGTGGGGGGAGTCCTGGGGAAGAGAGAAATCCTGAGGCCCCGTACCTGGTAGGACCAGGAAGGGAATGGGTGGGGGGAGGGTGTTGCGGTGGGAGGGCCCCACCTGCATATAGGTGCATCAAGTGACACTGGAGCGGACTTCTCCGTATCTGCATGTAGCAGCCCAGCAAGAGCCAACGGGCTAGAATGGGGAGCCAGTCTGAGCCCCAAGGGACAGGAGCTGCCATTGTGGGGTGATGCAGAGTAGTTTGACCCCCCCCCCCCCCCCCACACACCCACACACTCCCAAAAAATATTTTCACCAGCCACCTGTAGTATAGAGTGGTGTTGCAAGAGCACTGGAAGGTCTAGAAGGAAACATCAAATCTAAAATAACCACTTCTAAAAAGGTTTGTCCTCACCCCTTGATGGGAGTCACTCCTATCATGTATCATGGCCCTAGCTGAACACTCAGGTCAAAGTTCAAATAATTTCTTCCTTTGTTGGCTCAGGCCATAGAGAAATCCATTTGTTTTGTGGCATTATTCAGTCCTTCTGAGGATGAAGACTACTTAGTTTAATATGTTTATAAGGCCCTCATAATTAGTATATGAGCACCTCCCAAGTATTTAAAAAATATAAATAATGTGTAATATCCCTTTCCAGCCTACAGGAGAAATAACTTGCTTTTAGTTTATATTTTTGTTTGTGTGAGAGGTAGTAGGTGTGGGCAGTGTAACTTACTGAAGATAAACTACATTGAAGAGAGATCAATTTTGCATTTAGGGCCGGTTCCAGAGCCTATTTAAAATTGGGCCCCTTAAACATGTCTTAAATTAGGCACCCAAAAATGGAGGTTCTCAAAATCACTTGTCACTCCAGAAAATCTTGACTACATTCTTTTGATGCTCTCTTACATTCTCTACGCTGCTTAAAAGCCACTGGATTTTGATGGTTTTAATTGGAAGCTATTTAGAAAAGTACTGTTTCTACTAGGGGTTTTCTGTCATCAGTCTATAATTACTATTGCAAAAAATTAGGTGTTTCCAATATAATTTAAATATTTTGCATTTATCAGGTAAAAGTGCAGTATCTGATCTTGCTTACACAGCATGTTTCAGGTGTGGAGTTAATTCCTTCAAATGTATGAATATATTAGTTTTTGGTCATTTAAATGGTATGTGCTATCAGTGTCTTGTAGCTTTTGTGTTTTATTAGAGTAGCCTGGAACCTCAGGATAAATGAAATGTAATGACCAAATACAAAGTAAGAGATCTACATTTGTATTTTTTTAACAATTTATTTAGGAAGTTTTAACAAGCTTACATATCCTTGCCATGTAAATATCAGAGACAAAATAATAATCATTACAACAGTGAGCTTTTGTTTAGAGATTATACAGGAATATAATAATCTGATCTCTCTCTTTAACAGGGTGTCACCATATTACAGAGTGAGTTTCGTTACACTACCCATGACATGTCATCACTAGTGATTTTTATTAAATGGAATGAACTCTCTTGGATCTGCATTTGTAGGACTGGATGATGCTGTGTGCCAAGACAATAGCCCCCTTTTATATTTCGAGGATATATTTTTATATTTCACCTTCCTGTGCAGCATGGAACATGGGTCACTTGCAGATTTAAACTATTATAAATGATGGATTCTCTGTAACAAGTCTTTAAATCACGTTTTGAGTACTTCAGTAACTCAGCCAGAGAGGTTAGGGATCTATTACAGGAGTGGGTGGGTGAAGTTCTGTGTCCTGCAGTGTGCAGGAGGTCAGACTAGATGATCATGATGGTCCTTTCTGACCTTAAAGTCTATGAGACTGAGTGCAAATAGAAAGACTCCCATGGACTTCAGTGGCATTTTAGATCAGGTTCTTCATTTGAAAAGTGGTGAGATCTGTGGTCATTCATATGACATAAGAATAGAAGAATGGCCATACTGGGTTAGACCAAAGGTCTGTCTAGCCCAGTAGTCTGTCTCTGACAGTGGCCAGTGCCAGATGCTTCACAGGGAATGAACAGAACAGGTCAATTTCAAGTGATCCATCTCCTGTCATCCACTCCCACCTTCTCGCCGTTTGAGGATTAGGGATACCCAGAGCATGGGGTTGCGTCCTGACCATCTTGGCTAATAGGCGTTCATGGACCTATCTTTCAGGAACTTAACTAATTCCTTTTCAACCCCAGTTACACTTTTGCCCTTTACAATATCCCATGGCAATATCCACAGGCTGACTTTGCATTATGTGAAGTATTTCCTTATGTTTGTTTTAAACCAGTTGCTTATTAATTTCATTGGGTGACCCCTTGTTCTTGTGTTATATGAAGCAGGTAAATAGCACTTTCCTATTCACTTTCTCCATACCATTAATGATTTTATGGACCTCAATAATATGCCCCCTTAGTCGTCTCTTTTCTAAGATGAAAAGTCCAAGTCTCTTTAATCTTTCCTTGTATGGAGCAGCTCCATACACCTAATAGTTTTTGTTGCCTTTCTTTGTACTTTTTCAAATTCTAATCTTTCTTGAGATAGGGTGACCAGAACTGCACACAGCATTCTAAGTGTGGGCATATCATGGATATATAGTTCCACTATATTTCCTGTTTTATTATCTATTCCTTTCTTAATGATTCCTAACACTGTTGGCTTTTTTGACTGCCACTGCATATTGAGCAGATGTTGCAATGATTTTTTTCCAATGTGCATTATTTTGCACTTATCAGTATTGAATTTAATCTACCAAAACGTCCCCTAGTTTTTTGAGATCCCTTTGTAACTCTTCTCAGTCAGCTTTGGACTTAAATATCTTGAGTAATTTTGTATTGTCTGCAAACTTTACCACCTCACTGTTCACTCCCCTGCCCAGATAATTTATGAGTATGTTGAACAGCACAGATCCCAATACAAATCCTTTGGGGACCCTGCTATTTACCAATTTATCAATTGTGAAAACTGACCATTTACTTTGTTTCCTATCTTTTAACCAGTTACAGATCAAGCAAGGACCTTGTCTCCTACCCCATAACTGCTTAGTTTGCTTAAGAGCCTTTGGTGAGGGACCTTGTCAAAGACTTTCTGAAAGTCCAAGTACACTATATCCTCTGGATCACCCTTGTCCACATGCTTGTGAAATCCCTTAAAGAATTCTAATAGATTGGTGAGGGATCACTTCTCTTTACAAAAGTTATGCTGACTCTTCCCCAACATATTCTGTTGATCTAGGTGTCTGATAATTTTGTTCTTTACTGTATTTTCAGCCAATTGGCCACATGCGGGAATAAGCTCCATGTTCTAGGTCCAGCTCCTGTGAAACTCTACCTTCTGCTTTCACAAGCCTCACCATTTTGGTCAACAGTTTCATTGGAATGTTCCTGTCATAGGAGGTCATTATCATGGAGGGATAAGTGATCTCTCTGGTAGCTAAGGCCAATCCAATAGAGGACTTTGAATATGAGGATGAATCCTTGAATTGAATTTCCTGTTCAATGCAGAGAGCAGAGTGCTTGGGTAATATGTTCCTGGTGGTCTGTGTTGCTAGGTAGACAGACCAAAATAGGTTCATAGAAGGTAATAAACAGGAATGCTGGCTTTGATTCTTTAGAGTCACACATCTTTTTGTAACTACTAAAGGGACATGATTAAGTTAGATGGGTTTGGGAACACTAGTGAGAGGAGGCACAGACCAGAGGAAGAAACTACTTTCAGAATGAAAATATATTGTTTTGGTTAGTTGACAAGTCTGTCTTTTCTTTTCTCCTTCCTGCTCATTGAGCCTTCAAGTAGCAGTTATATAGTGTGTCCCCAACTACATATTTTCTTACTGAATTTATTTCTCTTTTCCTGCACTCTTATGGAAAATAACTGGTCAGCTGAAATGCTATAAGAGAGGTAGAGGGCAAGAGTGGGTAGTAAAAGAGCATATAGTCCAAAAACAAAAGCGTTGACAAAAAACAGAGTCACTACAACTTTGTGCTGCATAGACAGAGGGATCACTGAGCTGGGAGGTGACAGTTGTTCTCTGTTTGGTACTGATGAAATCACTCCCAGATTACTCTGAGTTTTAGGTACCTCAGTACCTGAAAGAAGACGATAAGGTAGAGGAAATTCTGGAAAAAGCAATAAAAATAGCTAAAAAGATGAAGGAATTGACTTGTGATGAAAGAGTAAATTAATACATACAACTTGTTCAGATGAGTAAAAAGGCAAATATTATGCTACCACCCAGTATTCAAAGGGTGTAAACATGAGTGAGCAAGATTAATTGTTTAGAGTGGTCCACGGTTATCTAGTTCAGAGTAATGGGATAAATAAATATCATGGTGATGGGCTCTTTATAAATACCTAGAAAAAAGCAAAGGACAAATTACACTGAATATAAGGGAAATCTCCTAACTGTTAGTGTTTTATTTGTATTACTGTAACACCTGGGAGCCCTAATTATGGACCAGGACCCCGTTGTGCTGGTGTTGTGCAAACAGAACAAAAAGACAGCCCTTAGCAGTGATATCTATGAGATGTGTCGAGACTATCCCAAGGGAATGGTGGAAGACCTTTCTTCTACTGGAGACCTTAAAAATTATATTGGCCAAATTACTGGAGAATAAACTCTAAAAAGCAGAATACTAGCTAGAGAATGAGTAGGTGATCTAATGAGTCTTTTGTGTCTCTGATTTCTCTGCTATATCACACATCCTCATGTCCTGTATTTGTTCTTCATCTGACCTGCTAAATTAGATTCTTAAGAATATTGTATTTATTTTTACTCCAGATATTTATTAATATTTAATTGTTTTCATGCTCCATCAGAGATGCATACAATCCAGAAAGATAAACTGTATTATTTTTCTTTTCATCTAAATCGCCATTTGAAACAATTTCTTCATAACAACAACCATACTACTATTTAGTGTTTAGAATAATGATGTTTGTTCTTCTCTGTGTAGAATGCCCTTCCTCTGCTTGGATTCCATTTAGAAGTAGCTGCTATATTTTTCTTCAAGGCACATTCGATGAATTGGACAGTATTGATGATGCCAGAAATCGCTGTAAAGGCAATGGTACTGTAATCCATCTCTTTTATTTCTGATGCATTATTAAGAGATATGTACTGTGGTTGCATTTAATGAATAACTGTATTATTTTAGGACATTATTGTTATTAAACAAGCTAAAATAATAAAGGTAATTAAACATCATTTTGGAGAACCCCAGGGGATCAGGAAAGAAATTTCCCCCTTGTATGGCAGAACGTTGCACATTTGGCTAAATGCATTTTTTTCTCTTTCTTTGAAGCACCAAGTACTAGTTACTGGTCTGGTCTGATCCAATACAGCCAATCCTGTGTTTTTGGTGATTTCAGCTGATTTCAGCAGAGTTTTTACTGTCACCCAGGACTTTCTCAATAGTCAAAGTATGGTAGTAGAGCAACTACTTTTTTAATACTTCACCTCAATGGATGAGCTTCCAAATGTTCTTCAAGTTGTACTGGTGTTTATCTGAGAATGGAGACTGCAGTGGCAGTCAGATACTCTGGAAACACTTCCATATCCTTGTTAGACAAGAGATTACCACAATTTTTGCTGTGTTAAGCATATATGGTATCTCACCCTGGACCCGAGTCCTTGCCTCAGTATTCTCTGTAAAGTCTGGAAGTGACTATCATTCTCTCATTTTTCATTACTGCTTTTCCCTTACAGTAAAAAATCATAGGCGTAGATTTAAAATTTCAGTCTAGATCCTTCTTTTAGCCATGCTGGGATGCATGGCAGAGGAGGTGCAAGGAGTCGTCCTTAATCCCCTGCCCCGCCCCATCCCAGCCCCCATTCACAGCTAGGCAAATTCATGGTACTGCTCTTGGGACCGGAAGACCAGCAGAGTCTAATGAAGACACAGGTGTTGTTCGATTCCTCTCTGGGGAGGGAAAGAGAAACCATTACCCTGCCAGCTAAGCCGAGCTCATGCTGCACTCTGTAACATGTTGTAGTGGGCTTTCCTCTGCAGCATTCCCAGAAGCATTGTGCCTGCCTCATGTATTGTTGCCAGAACAGTGCATGTCCCCATCCTCTCCTTGCCACAGGGCGAGGACTTAAAGCCACAGACCAATAATAGTTCCTTCCTCTAGAATACCATCATTTTCTTTCAGTGGTAGTGAAAGTAAAAAAATATAAACTGAACTGACATCTCCACCATTGTAACCTGGAATATATGGTTAAAGAGACTGTCCATAATTGCTTGCATATTATATCACTTATTCCGTAGGGACATCGTTTATTGTTTGTTTGTTTTAAATGGAAGATTACTTTGGTTTTCTTGCCATTTTTGGTTCAGTCATATACTTGCTAATGGGAATGGGAAAATTCCCAGTGGCTTCAAATGGAACATGATTAAGGTTACAATTTTGTCATGGATATTTTTAGTAAAACTCATGGACAGGTCACAGGCAACAACCAAAAATTCACAGAAGCCATGACTTGTTCCTGACTTTTACTAAAAACATCCCTGACAAAATGGGGAGGGAGGAAGGTCCATCACCCTTCCCCACTGAATGCAGCAGCTGGGAGCTGTAGCCCCCCCACTCCTGCCCCATGCCTGGAAGGCACCCCTGACCATGGGGCTAGGAGCTGAGGGGGCCCCCCAATGCTGCAGCTGAGAGCTCTGGGAGGTCCCCCGCTGCCGTGGCAGCTGGGCTTCTGCGGGGCCCCAATGTCACGGAGGTCATGGAAAATCACAGAATCCAGGACCTCAGTGACATTCTGGTAGCCTTAAATATGATCAGCTATTCAACATTTTTTTTTAACATTCAATTTACTATTCTGCATTTTATTTTATATTAAGTCTTATTTTACAATGGAAAAATCAGCTGAGCACTGACAAGGAATTTCTGAAGCAGAATGCAGTTCCAACTTTTAGCTATTTCAGAGTAGTGTTTATGTATTAAACCAAAAGGTTTGGGCTTATTTATGTGTATGTGAAGATCTTTCCCATAGCTCACTATTATTTTAAAGAGATTTGTATTGCAAACAGCATGTAAATGATATGATGATATTGTAAGTAACAAAAGAGCTTAAATTTTTTGTTTCTTTTGAATGATCCACTGGTAGTCGGTATTCAAATTGAGTACAAAATCTGAGACACATCAAGGGAAAAAGAGACTATAAATCAACTCTTTGATCTAATTAAATTATCTAAATTGTTTAGATTTTTTTTCAGATTACACATTTAAATGTACCTGTGTGTTTGCTAACATCTTAAATGGCATTTATATGACACTATGTGAATGCATTGTATATCGTGTCAGTCTGTCATTGCACTGCTGAGATGTGGTTAATGTATGTACACAATTGATTGGTTACTGGGTTGGTCAGTATGTTAAGATGCTTTTAATATAGTATTTATAGTTGTTTCACTTCTGTTGCATGAAATGTGCTTTCAAACTTAGATTTATAGGGGGATTTTTTTTTTCAAATACAGCTTCTGGAGCAGACATTATTAGTATAAAAAATAAAGAGGAGAATACCTTTATACAAGAAACATTCAAAAATCACTGGCAAGGCCCTGATTATATTTCATTGGGCATGTTCTTTGACACAGATGGTAAGTGAGAACTACCTTGTTGATATCTTAATACTTTGTCTCTATTAACTGCAGAAAATGCAGGTCTTTGTGGTGGAATTATTAAATTATACGACAGTCTCAGTTCAGTTCTTATTGAAAAGGTGTCCACATCCAAAAAAAAACAATTGCCATGCTAATCAGAACTGTTGTTGGCAATATCTGGGATTGAATGAGAACAGACACGTAACTAATCTCTCAGCCCTAGATAGTTCCTCCAAATCAAGGTTGAGACATGTCAGTAGAGGACTACATGGAAGCTTGTATTGCTGCTATCTGTGCTATACCTGTGTAGAAGATAACTATAGGATTATCTCCAGATCTCTCAATCTGACAATTTTGACAAGCCCAATATTCATTTTCACAGATGATGGTTACAAGCATCTTTATGTGGTGTTTGCGTAGTTATAGAAACACTCTTGCTTGCTTTTCTCCATTCATATCAATAGCTAAAAAAACTGTAAATAAAATTTGTCCTTTTGTATATACGTACTAACTTCAGATACACTATGTAAATCTGGAGTAACAACATTGAAATTAATGGATTATTTTGACTTTACAGATCTGAGAACCGAATTTAGTCCAGAGAGGGGAACATGATTTTGCTAGAGATCTTGAATCATAGAATTGTAGGACTGGAGGGGACCTCAAGTGCTCATCTAGTGCAGTCCCCTGCACTCACGGCAGGACTAAGCATTATCTAGACCATCCCTAACAGATATTTGTCTAACCTTCTCTTAAAAATCTCCAATGATAGAGATTCTACAACCTCCCTAGACAATTTATTCCAGATCTTAACCACCCAACCATTAGGAAGTTTTTCCTAATGTTGCTGGATTTATTATTCCCATTATACAGATGGGAAATTGAATAACAGGGAGAAAATGTGACTTGCCCCCAATGTCACGCATTAAGTCTGGCAGGGAATGTAACCCACATGCCAGAGCCAAAGTTTGGCACCTTAATCATGAGACCAACCTTCCTCCTCTGGACTTCCTAATACCAGGATTCTCACTGTGTCCCTGCAGGGAAAATATTCATTTTTGTCAGGATTCTTTTTATCTCCCCCTTTGCTGCGCTTATTTTCTTTGGTGGAAGCTTCCATGAAGATACTACAAACCTCAAAACTCTCTCTGGGCTGGGACACAGGTGTGTGACTTCTGTTCATGATAAAATCTACAGGTTCCATGCTGTGGATTATCAAGTCCATTTCCTACATCAAGGAGAGTTTGACATTATTAGTTATTTAGATTAATGATCATTCTGATGTGCCTAGTCCTAAAGGATCATTCTACTGGTTTTAGGAGTTTTGTAAGTTACCAGCAGGCTGAGGACAGGCTAAAGACTGAGCTTGTGATCTGGAGAATAGTGTATATTAAAGAGCTCCTGGTCTTGGCATAAAATCCTTCCCATGCTCACAAAGGGGAAAACAGGAAAAGCTTCAAAGCTAATATGTAAGCAGCAGTGTAAGCAATTTGTGTAGAAATTATAATCTTACTATGGCATGCAAAAGGATGGAAGCCCAGCCACATGGCTAACATGACTGAATATGCATCATGAACACAAAAGGAATGGTCTTTAGGAAAGAGAGATGTTTGAACCCAAACTGGCAACCACATATGATATCGTCCAAGAGCAATGAGTATATTCTTTATGAGAAAGGAGTAGTAACAAGTGTCCTGAAACATGGTGATCTGGCCCAAATGTCAGCCTGGTGTATGTTGGCAGAATTTCTCTTGTCCAAGAAGCTCTTGAGAGCATCTCTCACTGCACTGGATTTGATGCATGTTGCCAGGATGCAGCCTGTACAAAGTACCAAGAAATAACTTCAAAATGTTCAGTTTTCTTTTAAATTCAATTATTTCGTTTGATTTGTAAGTGTGAAAAACTGTTTTTGCATGAATGACATAATGTATAATTCCTTCCATCACAGATAATGCTTTTAAATGGTTTGACAAGTCGGAAATGAAATTTACCAATTGGATTGAAGAGGAGAGCAATGAGGAACTCCTGAACACATGTGCTTCTATGTACACTAAGTCTGGGGAATGGAAAAAAATCAGTTGTGAAGATCTTCCTCTGACAGGGACCCTTTGTAAAACAGCCTGTAAGTACAATGTGGGTCTACATCACATGACTCTCTCCTTTTTTCTTTGTACATACATACACACACACACACACACACACTTTAAATTTTTGATTATGACAAAGTTACAATAAAACGTTAAGTTACTACACTGTACATTACTTGTTCAGGATCAGGTTAATATTCAAAGAACGTGGCATTTTGGCTTGCTAGCTTGGGAGCCCTCCTCCTCTGAGTACGCTAGAAAAGATGACCAAATTTCTAAATACCTGTCCTCTTTTTGGCACTTCTCTTTTGTACATACTTGATGTGAAGGGGTCATATTTTTCCAGTAGTGTGCAATACAGAGTCTAGCTGCTAACAATAGAAAATAAATAATTTGTCCTTTGTTTAAAATGCAGATCCTCTACAGGAGCATTCAGTAAGCATGTCAGGGGATCTCCAGGAAGCTGGCATTTCTTTAAATTCCTCCCAAAATCATATCATTCCTAGACACAACCACTACATGTGCAAGTATGTTCCACTTTCCCAAAACAGCCCCTCCCACAGAAAACCCCTCTAATAGCATCTCTCTAACAGATGGATCTTACCTGGAGTCAAATGCCATCTATACAATCATTTATACAAATTTTCTTTATGAGCTACCCAAATTAAAGATGTATATCCCCTTTCCCATGTATACATCCAGATTGATTTCTTTGTCCAAATCCTTCTCCTGTCTTTTCATCTGGGTTGTTTTCTTATCTACATCTTTTTCCATCAAAATTGTATATATCTTAGAAATTAAACCTTTTGTTCCAGCTTCCTCGTGGGTCAGCTCCTCAACTGTGGTTGAGGAGCTCTAACTAGAGCTGCCTTGTATCCAGATTTAACAATACAATGTTTGACTTGTAAATACTGAAAATATGGGATTGTTATATTATTTTCTATATTGCATACCGTTTATATGGTTTTAAATCAGGACTCAGGAACAGATGTCTGAATTCAATAATCTCCGTTTTTATCCACAATTAATAGACACTTTGGTATTTCTTTGGGATAAATTCCTGATTGATAATGGAAATAGCTGAGAGAGAGAGCCTTGGCAACAAGAATTTAGAAAATTTGTCCAAAACCGCTATTGTGGTCTGGAAGAATGGGTGACTTTTTATTTTTGGTGATTTAAATTTCTTTCTGACTCAGCAACTACTATGAATAGCTGTATTTGGGCTCCATTCTTGTTTGAGTTTTATGCCCTGTTTGGGTGTTTATTGTTAATCTAGTTGATCACGTCTTTTAACTGTAATGTATAACAATAACATGCCAAATTAGGGAAGCTAGTCCATCCAGAACTTTTTGAAATCACCCTTTGTCTTTTATGTTTCCTTGTGCATTTTAATAAAATATCCTGCCATGTTTCTAATGTCATGTCAGGGATGCACTGAAACAAAAATAACAAGTTTTGAAGGACATTTATTTTTATCGAGGCTATCCTGAGTAGACAAGAAATTTTGTTTGTTCCATTCCTCCAAGTGTTTTATTATATTATTCCAGACTGGAGGGTAATTTCACTTAAAGAGATTTTTTATGTTTCTCCACAATATTTACACCTACACATTTTAAAGATTCCTTTACCCATTTAAATTTATGTAGCTCACCACAGTTTGTTTTGAGCTTTTGGGAATATTAATTCATAAAATTTCAGATTTATTGTAGTTTATTTTGAAGCCTGATACCTGCCTAAGGGCAGGTCTTCACTACGGGGGGGGTCGATTTAAGATACGCAAATTCAGCTACGCGAATAGCGTAGCTGAATTCGACGTATCGCAGCCGACTTACCCGCTGTAGGGACGGTGGCAAAATCGACCTCTGCGGCTTCCTGTCAACGGCGCTTATTCCCACCTTCGCTGGTGGAGTAAGAGCGTCGATTCGGGGATCGATTGTCGCGTCCCAACGGGACACGATAAATCAATCCCCGAGAGGTCGATTTCTACCTGCCGATTCAGGCGGGTAGTGTAGACCTAGCCTAAGTTCCAAAGTCAATTGTTATATAACTTTTAACAAGGCTTCTGACTCCTGCAAATATAACAGGACATTGTCCACGTGCAGAGCTATTTTGTGTTCTAATCCAGAAGATGTTTTGATGCCCTTTACCCAGGGGCTACTTCTTACCTTTATTGCAGGGCTCTCAAACTCAATTTACCTTAGGGCCAGTGCCAGTCCTCAAATCCTCCCAGCAGGCCAATAATGTCACTGAAGATGGTGTTCAGAAAAGAAAACGTTTATATTGTATTTTTTATTTCAAATTTCTTAGAAATAATAAAACTGTCATACAACTTTATACAATTCTTCGCCTGCCAGAGAGTTTTTAATGTTTGCCAGACACCTGGCAACGCTTCAGTTCTGTCAGTTTTTTTATGTTTGGCCTCGGTGACTGAGCAGTTGAAACCTTCAGGATTGCAGCAAGGTGTGCATCAGATAGTTGTGTTTGGTATTTTGACTTGTTTATATTCATTGTGGAAAAAATTAATATAAACATATAAACGCTGCCTCCATGGCTGACTCTGCCCAGCAACTAATGATACTGCCTCCATGGCTGACTCTGCCCGGTGACTAGTGATGGTATCTCTGTCTCCCCCAGCCAATGGGAGCTGTGGGGGGGGCGGCGCCTACAGCAGACATTGCCGGCATCGTGGCTGCATGTGTCTCTCCTCCGTGGGCCGCAGTTCTCAGGCCGCAGATGGCCCGCAGGCCGGGACTTTGAGACCCCTGCTTTATTGCAAATGGCTCCATTGCCAAAGAAAACAACAGCGGGGATAACAGGCAGTCCTGACTCATACCCCTTAACAAATTAAAAGGAGGGGATTGATGACCATTAACCAAAGCAGATGCTCGAGGATGAGTATATCGTGCCGACATGCCTCTATAACACTGATTTCCAAAATCTGTCTGAGGTGCTCCCGTTCCAGACAGTCGAAGGCTTTCTCAACATCCAAAGAAAGTAGCAAACGGGAAGAATTGCTATAATTAACATTATAGTTCAATTCAGAGTTCTGATATTATCAGATATTCCTTTGAACAACAAATCCAGACTGGTCTAGCGGAACATATTTGGGCAAGATGGCACTCAGGGTATGACTGCACAGCAATTAAACACCCATGGCTGGCCTGGGTCGGCTGTCTTGGGCTCTCAGGACTTGGGCTGCGGGGCTATAAAATTGCTGTGTAGATGTTCGGGCATGGGTGGAGCCCAAGCTCTGGGACTCCCAACCCCCTCTTCCTCCCCCCCCCCAAAAAAGTATACATAGCGGTCTTGGGCTTCAGGGCTAAAGCCCCATGAGCCCAAATCAGCTCACCCGGGCCAGCTGCAGACATACCCATTATCTGTTTGCTAACACCTTTGCATAAATTTTAGCATCCACATTAATTAAATAAATAGGTGTTATGATGCACAATTGGTAAGATCTTTTCCTTCTTTAGGAATTGCTACAATTGTTGTGTCTTTCCACAAATCAGGAATCTCATTCCCCTGCAATATATCATACTTTATTTGCCGATTTTAATATGTCATGGAAAATATCATCCAGTGTGACCTGTAGATTTCTTCCTTCAGTCTCCTCTGGAATACTCTTAATCCTTGCTTTGTTCCTGTGTTCTGTATTTTCCATGTCCTCCATCTTTAATTCTGTTTTTTCTTTTCTTCTTTTCCCCCCCTCAATTATTTGAATTCTTTCATTTAGATTAGTAATGCTGTCCAAGTGCTTGATTAATCCTGTTTCCACATCTTATATTTTCCCATTCATATCATTAACTTCATTTTTTATTTCTTTATTGTAAGCCTGGAACTCTTCCCTCATCTCCATATTCATCTTTTTTTGTTTTTAACAGCAGGTCCTTCAGGTCAGATAGTGACTGGTCTTTCTCCACTTGCCTTCATAATTTGCTGGAGAGGAAGTTACTCTCTTTAGTAGCCATGTCTTTGTTTTGGAGGAACAGATCTTTATATTGGAAGAACTTTCCTTTCACAGACATCTAGATCTTATTGTCTTTCCTTGTTGCTAGTTGCTTCTTTCTAAAGATGGCTCTTGCCACACTTCTATTTGTCTGATCTTTTCAGAATGGCCTCTGCCACACTTCCTTTCCCAGCCACAATAGTACAAGTTATTTTGATTTTTTTTAAATTTTGCTGCACTCACCCCTGTCTCTTTACAGGGTAATGAGGGTCCAGTTCAGTATCTCTGGGCTTGCAGAGTCATTTTTCGTATGTTCTGCACGCTGATGGCACTGGATTCAGTTGCTCAATTTTTCTCCCACCAAGGCTGCTCTGTGGGACTGGGATCTGCCAGCTCTCTTCACCCTTTTTTTTTTCTCCTCCTGCTTTTCAAAGAAAGCTCCACTGATAGTTACTCAAATTTAAGGCATGGATCTGTGGGTTCAGGGTTCTTTTTATCTTTTTATATCACTTTCATTTATTCCCCCACTGCCATTTATTGCAGAGAGCTGTATTAAGGCACTATCTTGTTTGCTGCCTTAGCCACACCCCCATAACTATATTTTTAATAATTTTGTTTCACTATGTGTTTGGTCTTTAACAATTAATAGACTAGATTTCACAATATGCTTAAAGATAGACTTTAATGGTGCTATAATTTAAACAGTTCTTCAAGAAACCCTATTCCTCTCTCTCCTTTGGGCTGGTTCTGGGTTTTTTTCCAGTACTCTGCTTTGGCCAAGGCCTGATTTACAATAAAAAATTAGTTCAGTTTAGTTACATTGGTTAGGGGTGTGGAAAAATCCATGCCCCAGAGAGGCGTAGTTAAGCCAACCTACATCCCTGTATAGACAGTGCTAGGTGGACAGAAGAATTCTTCCATTGACCTAGCTACCACCCCTTGGGGAGGTGCATTACCTATGCCAACAGGAGAATCTCTCCCATCAGTGTAGACAGTGTCAGTACATCAGTACAGCTGTAGCATTTTAAGTGGAGACAAGCCACAAGTCTTGTGGACTATAAAAGCTATTGTTTTTCTGATTTACTGATAATTATCTGAATTATTGATCCCTTGAATAGCTTGCAGAGAGAATTTATCTAAAGTTCTAGAGGAGTTAATCACATGACTGTGCATATAATTTCAGTCTAAGGGAAGCCACAGAGAAGGAGTGTTCATGCTTATGTTAGAGATCTCTCTGTAGCCTTGCCCTACCACTACTGTCAGGATGTCTGTTTGTGGGTGATCCTTTTTTGTATAGTAGTTCAGTTTTCTAGAAGACAACACAATATATCTAAAAACATGAGTTTGCTGTGTTACTGTCTCAAAATCCTTATTGAAGAACCATATATTAACAGGAATTACAATAGCCTCTAATCCACTACAATGATGATACATTGTGCTGCGGTTAGTTTTAGAAACATAAGTTATGTGGATGTGGAACCATGTAGATGCATCGGTGTGTTGGGGGGGAGGGGGAGTTCAGTGTTGACACTTGGCAGCTATGTTTGTTGCAACCAAGTCAGATGAGCATGTCACAACCTGGTTATAAAAACAAAGTTGTACTTGCAGGATCCTAGTCCTCTTCTCTTACTAGTGCAAATTAGGAGTAACTGTTGAAGGCAAGGCACTTCTCTCATTCATCAGGGTAAGAATAAGGCCCGTAGTGTAGACGGGAGCCAAAGTGACTTGACTGAGGACATAGAGGAGCCAGTCGTAGAAGTGATATTAGAGTCTGGCTCCTAGTTTCACACTTAAATGACACCTCCCCTCATCCACACTTATGTTACCTTATTCTGCATTTTCTGTTAACTTCATGGACATCTGCATGAGTGGTGGGACCATCTTTTTTTTATTAATACAGTTACGTAAACTTTTTCCTGTGAGAATGCATTCTTCCCTCAATTGCTTACACATCAAAAACTGTGATGAAAATTAACTTTCTTTGAAAATAGTAGTTTATTCCATACAAACATGAAACAAGCTAAACACCTAATTTTAAATCTTTTTTTTCTTGTAGTTGCATATGAAAAGAAGTACTTACCAGGTGAGTGTTTGCATACCTTTGCTTGAAGTTTACAAGCATTTTATGGATGTTATTCACTGCCCCGCTCACTTGCTTCCCAACTCCCACCTCCAAAAAAGGAGACACTGTATTTCTGCTGGTTATAGAACTACACATCTTGATTTATTTGTCTATTACCTTATTTTGGGTGACGTGCATACATATTATGTCAGCTGATATTCTGTTGCTATAATATTAGATTAAGCTTTCACAAGGAAGGGAAAGAGCTTTATTACCTATATTAGAACTTCAAAAGGCAAGAGGTTAGTAAAATTCCCACTGCTAGTAGAGAGGTAGGTCAGGGTTGCACAGATTATGACATTTTTTAGCTTGCTTTGGATGGTTAGTCATGTTTATCTCTTAGATGTAAAATAGATAAAGGAATAAACCGATATTGGATTACCATATGTCTGGGTTTTCCTGGATACAACCTCTTTTTTTAAAATTCTTTTTCAAATAAGAGGCAGTGTCTGGGATTTTTGCGGGCAGACATTGCAGCTCAGAAAGAGCTGTCTCCACGCCGATTGGTCTCTTCCCTGCAGCCACAGTTGTCAGATCCCACCCAGCTAGGCCCCAGCGCCCATCCCTGGGGAGGGGGAGAGGCCCCAAGGCAGGTGCTGATTGACAGCTGCCTCTATCCTGGGCCTGCATCAGCACGCTGAGAGGGAGCGACGCTGCCCCCTACCTTGAGAGTGAGGCTGCAGATATCCCCTCCAGCTTCCCCCAGGTACCCTTCCAAGTAAACATACCCCTCCAGCATCCTCCCAAATACCTCCTCCAGCTCCTCCTCCCCCCACCTTCAACAGTGTCCTCTTTTTTGGGGAACCTGAAATATGGTAACCCTACACTGATAGGAATTCCCTTTTTCTTTATCAAACCTGCAGCTGTTATGACTAACCCCTAAAGAGTTTGTTCAAAGTAACAAGTGGAGCCTTATCCATCTCCCTTCCTAGACACAACTCTCATCCTGGCCTCTGCCTAGTTTCTACCTACCTCCTCCATTTGCTAAATCATCTGAGAATTCAGAATGTACTAAAATTATTCAACCTAAAACATAAGGATGGTCTTCAGACCAGAGGATGAGGGAAGCAGATCTCTAGGGTTGTTGGCTGTACGTGTTCACGGATAACTAAGGTGCTTTTCAGGCCCCACCTGCACTTCAAAATGGATTGTGTTTGGAAACTGCTTTTAAACTCTGTCATAAAAATGACTTCAGCTGACATGGTTGTGTCATCACTATGAATAGGCCCCAATAGGTTAACATTTTAAAAAGAAACACTTCAAAATTATACCTTCATCCATGTGTGGCACAAATAGGTGTGAGCTGAAACCATTTTTGTAACAGGAAGCATTTTTAAAAACCCAACATGGCATCCTGTGGACTTACACAAGCCTTAAATTAAGGGGTCAGGAACAAATGTCCCTTGCTGGAGCTAGCCCTACTACTTGTAAGAGTAACTAGTATGTAACTTAACTAGTCATAAAGATACATATTCAGAACTGGTTTATAAATATCTGTTACTTTGCTTGACCAGTTCCATATAGGGCGACCAGATGTCCCAATATTCAGCTGTTTGTCCCGCATCCCGATGGATGTATTGTCGGGACCCCATTTGTCCCGATATTTGGCCTCGGTGGCGCTCCGGCTTTTTTTTTTTTTTTTGCTTCGGCGGTGTCCTGCCCCCCCATGTGTCCCAATATTTAGTTTTTGTCATCTGGTCACCCTAATTCCATAACTTCAATTATTTTACCATTTTAGCAGAGTTAGATTTTCAGTAGTGCAATACAAGAGAGGGCATCCCTATCTGAGCTCATAGTAACCTCTTCAAGTCAGGAATCAGCATTACTTTTATCACATAATCCCCAGGACACTGAGTTCATTTTGTTTAAAAGAAATTTTCAGTTTTCTTTATAGTCATCTCAGTGAAATATTTGCTAATTGGATCGATATTGAGTTAGGAGGCCTGTAAAACAATTAAAGAAAATGGAGAAAGTGACTGCCTTAGAAGATAAATTGCCTCATGTCTATGTAAGTTTTCTTGTCTGCCAAATGTTAACCCACTCTTACCTGGTGGCAGTTAATGTCCCATTTTAACAAAATAGCATAAGGTTCATATTAGTTAATCAAAACTAGAAATGTAATGTTCTTAATAGGAATTAACATTTTTTAAATAAGCTACTTTTTCTCCCTTTAAATCTGAATAGCTTATCACTTTATACAGAACAGAAATCCTCTGTTATCAGTGGAGGTTTTGAACTAAATGGTTAACATAAGCTTGAATGGAGTATTTCTGAAGCATCTGGATTGATTCAGAATATTTTCCTCTGAAACCAATAGAACCTTCCTATTGAATGAGTAGTTTTGCTCAAAAATGTCTGGGTCACTGCTCATTTCAATTGAACCAAACCATGGCTGTAATCAGATACAAACAACTTTCTGAACTAGTTTAAATTTTCAATAATCAAAGGCACTAGTTTTTCCTGAGCCCAAAGGATGGAAGTCACCCCCACTTCCTCAGCTGCAAGTTCTAATAATCAGGCTTTGTGTAGCTATTTCTGTGGGGAATGGAATTCACATGGGTGGGTTTAGGCAGTAGTTCTTTTGTCGCTGGACATGATCACTGCCATATCCTCTCCTTACACCTTTGTAAATCTGGAGTAGCTTCCATTGACCTGGGTGGAGTTACTCTTGATTTACACTGAGGTGAGGGCTTAATATGGATCTGTGTAATCATGAGTCTAAATTCCCCTTATCAGCTGGCCTATTCAGAGCTTGTGTGGATACTCCTTCCATGGCAGGCTCTTGGAGCCACTTAAACCCTGAGTAGGCAATAAGGGGAATGAAAAGAAAGAATGATCACCTTTAGGCATGCAACAGCTCCATATTTTCTTGTATTTTCACAGTATTTGTGACACTTAAGGGTAAGTTCTATTCTCATTCCTTGACTACTGCAGATTCTTTCTGTTTGTCAAGAAAGGCATAGGATCAGTGGGTGCTAGTTTAATTTTTTTTTAACCCCACATTGTATATGAGGAGCAGGTTTTCCTACAATGAGCACTAAGCAGTACATTCTAAATTGAATTCCCTGACACCTGTAAATGTACAATTTCCGCAAGTAATTTCCCCCTGAGAGATCAGAAAAATACCACAAACTGAATGCTAACTTGTTCTTCCATTATGTTTGCTCCACTCTTGGGATTAAATTAATCCCTTGGAAAAAGGCACAGCTATAAAATACTTCTGCCAAAATGAAGTTAATTCATTATTTTAGTGATGTGTAAAGTGCGAGGCCTAGAGTAGTTCATCCCTTTTTAACTTCAGAATAAATATTTATTTGGTTAAAGAATTCTGGAAAAGGAAGAGTAGAAACTGGGATTTGAAAAGAAGTCCCAACAGTTGGAATTTTTCTAAGCAATTAAATGACAAAAAAAGTCAACTATGAAGACAGACTAGATTACAGGAAAGGAAGAGCTAATGGTTTAAGATGTTTGCCAAATAATCCCAAGGTTTCCATGTGCTGCCACTGAATGCAATTAATTATAAAATAAACTTGATAACTGTGCACTTAATGTTTATATCCCCTTTAGTATAGATGCCTTGTGTATGAATGGTCATTTACAAGACTGTCTTCTTTTGTTTCAGATAAAACTGCTTTGACTACCACCTTGGTCATAATTTTTACCATAGTTTTGACAGTTTCTGCAGCATTATTTTGGTTCCTGTACAAAAGAAATATTTCGTCTGGAGTTTTATGTATAACACACCATTCAACAGCTGAAATGCCATACAGTGATGAAACTGTTCTAATAGACGAAGAAAATGAGTATACTGCTTAAAATGTAAAATTATACAATTTTATTTAAATGCCAAAAAGTTACATCTTATCCATATTTAGGCTTCAGTCCTGTAAGCACATGCATAACTTTACTCACATAATAATGTGCTAGTTGTTAGGACACAGAGAAGACAGACTAAAAATAGTCAAAAGTATTTCCCATTGGGCTGTCAGAGTTCATATTCAAAATTCTCTCCAACTGTATTTAGTGCACCTGGAAATACCTGGAGTATGAGTTGGTCTGTCTCAGTGAAGTGTCATTCTGAAAGAGCAAGCATTTAATTAAACGTTAAGATTTCAAAAATTCTGCAGATTTCCATAACAGGTTTTAAATTCATTTGTTTCATCTGTGTTCACGACTGGTTTTCATTCCTGTGAATATTTTAGCAAATAAAAGTTTGAAACACTAGCTAATTTTAAATGAATAGTATAGAAAGAAAATTTTAATTTGTGTTTGCACTGAAACCTTAATTCAAAGAACTTCCAGTCAATGCACAGAAATGAGCCACATGATCTGCATCCAGTCAAAACAATCTGAACTTCAAACCATTCAGACTCATGAAACTGGTTTTAAAAAAAAAAATGCTATTACCCAAAATGAGTAATTTCAGACAAAACTAAGCAAATTATCTGCAAACAATTTAAAAGAGGGAGATGAAATTCCTCAAATTATTTGCCCAGTTCAAATTATGATTAGAGTCCAAATGTTCAAAAACTTTCTAATTTTGTATTTGCAGCTAATTGTAGCTGCAGGGTTAAGAGGTCAAGTCTTGGCCCCAGTTGTGCAGATCCTTAAAGATGCATGGAAATCGTTTGGCCTCTGCACAGGAACAGGGGTCTGCTTCCACTGATCAGGGTTTAGCAGCTATCATTTATAGCCATGCTTATTTGATTGCAAAATTAGCTTTCTATACCCTGCAATATGTAGTCATCCTATTTTTTTAAGGGGGAAACTAGTGGGCAAACTGTTCATCTGGCTAACCTGCAACTATTTTAATATAGAAAACAAAATTGAAAGATTGCTGTGTGCATGTGTACTCTGTTGCCACAACTTTTCTTTTCTATGCTTTAAAATGTTGCATTTTACCCAGTGAGACTGCAAAAAGACCAAAACCTTGTGAAGATTCTCAAGGGAGGTCCGCATCTCTGTGAAGCAAAGGAATTGGTATTAGAGAAGGTAGATTTGATACACACCAATTAAAAGTCGGTAAATTATGTTAATAGCATGATAAGGAACAGAATATTTATATGTATACAGTATGCTTCCTTCAGAACTTAATGGAATTAAATCTTAATTTCTTGAGCAAGTATCAGAGGGGTAGCTGTGTTAGTCTGTATCCACAAAAACAACGAGGAGTCCCGGGGCACCTTAAAGACTAACAGATTTATTTGGGCATAAGCTTTCATGGGTAAAGCTGTTAGTCTTTAAGGTTCCACCAGACTCCTCATTGTATTTCTTGAGCAGAAACTGGATTGGAACTGCAAAGAAATGGAGGCTGACCTTATTCTCTACAGATATAACATAATAGGAGCAGTAGGAAATTTAGTAGTCTTCCTTTTTTGCAGTTCCTCACCTTCTTAGGTGATATGAGCTCAGCTTCTATAGGCACTGTCATATCTCTTCCTCATCAAATCCTGTTACAAAATCTAAATGGCTCAAACATGAGAAAGCTTCATTCCTATTGCTCCAGGCAGTGCCACGTTCCCTGTGTTTTCCCCCACAATGCTGTTTTGCTGATTCTGTTTTGCTCCATTCTGCTTCTCTCCCTATTTTCATTATGCATTTGATGTTCCTATTGCGCACCAAACCTGTTGTTATGCCTCTTGCTCTTTTTTCACCTGTTGGAGATTTTCTCTGAAGGGATTTTTGCTGCTCTAACCCTTTTGTCTGCTAAAAGGTGATTAAGATACATGATGACATGTTTTAAACATTCCTCTGAGTGGCACTAGTGTGTATGTTGTCTAAGGGCTGAATAGAATGTATGTTGAGGTATTCAGCATTCATTCCTGTAGAGGGACCAGGGAAAATTCTCAAGGTGCCATTCAAATTTGCCTGAGCCTAGCCTTTAAAAGGACAGCACCTATCCCTAGTGTTAAAGATACTAATCATGAACAAGCAATGCACTAAGTCAGTGGTCCCCAACCTTTTTTGTCTGGCGGGCACCAGACGACGAGCCACGGAGGACCGTGGCGGCGGACGAGCATCTGCCGAAATGCCGCCGACAAGAAGCAACATCAATAGGCTTCGCCACCGAAATGCCACCAAAAATCGGCAGCCTCTGGATGACGCTGCTTGTCAGCGGCATTTCAGCAGATGCTCGTCCACTGGCCAGTACGTGGGCGCACTTAGACGCCTTGGCGGGCGCCATGGCGGGGACCCCTGCACTAAGTAATTGAATGGAAGCTCTTCTCTGAGTTTACAGTAGTATAAGCTACTCCTGCACTCTGGTGCAGAGTTGAGACACCGCAGATCTAAGTTTACAGTCATAGCCAAAATGATGTAGCAAAGCTAAGAGCGTTCTGGTTTATGTACAGAAGTTCTGGATCAAGTGACCCCCCTTGGCAGCATTCTCAGCTATACAGACTAGAGCAAGCAAGCAAGCACGCACTGAAGGCAGTACTCCAGGTCTGTTGATTGTCAAGTCACTAAACAAGAGAAACATTCTCATATTCCATAGACAAACAGATTAGGGGGATTGTATTAATTATTAGACTAGTTTGTCTCTAGTGAGGTTTACTTCTTAAGTTTGCATAAGTGAGCACGATTACTGCTGTCATGCCTGTGGGTATGTAGGTCTACACTTCAAACAAACAAACAAACAAACAACTTGGGTTTAGATAGCAGTGTAGACATGCCACTGAGCTTTTAATTCAAGTTAGCAGCTCAAATTCAACCCCACACTC